CCTGGTGGCGCAGCGGGTTAAAGCACTGCACTAAGAAGCTTAAGCCACTTCTGCATGAGTTAGATCCCTGCCTGCCTGGAGGAGATCCACATGGCCCAGCAGACTTCTCTTGACCTGCCCACTGCTCCCCTCCGTAATACTTCATCGATCTGCCTGTTCTGCTCCCCACTCTGTCTCTGGTGAATCCTCTCACCCTCCACATCTCTGGCTTGTACCCCAGTTCTGTATGAATAAATAAAAAAAAATTTTGTTAAGAAAAATAAGGAGCTTTTAAAACTCAAAGCATGATGCCATTTGCTACCAAAAATTCTGAAGCATAAACACATCTCTGAAATGACATGAGAAATGCAGACAGAACAGAACACACTTAGCTCTGGCATGTGTTCTGAGAGACAAGATCCCAATCTCCCCTCCTTCCCCTTGCCACACCTCATATTTCTTCCAATAAATGTAGCTAAGTTCAGTGGCATGTTTTTCTTTTACTAGAAACTTCTAGAAGGTTGGGCCCTCCCTGGTGGCGCTGTGAGTTAAAGCACAGCACTAAGAAGCTAAAGCCACTTCAGCATGAGTTCAATCCCCGCCTGCCCCAGAGGTGACCACATGGTGCGGCAGACCTTTCCTGACAGGCCCGCTGCTCTCCTCAGCAGGGTACTCTGTCAGTCGGCCTGTTCTGCTCCCCACTCTGTCTCTGATGAATCCTCTCCCTGACCCTGCACCTCTGGCCTGTACCCCAATTCTGCAGGCATAAATAAATAAATCTTAAAAAAAAAAAAAAGAAAGAAACTTCTGGAAGGTCTGAAGAAATTTGTAATTCAATTATGCTATCACATATCTAGTAAACACCAAATAAATGTCATCCCCTTTCCTGGACTATCAAAAATTCCTTAGTAAAAAGAATTCAGCAAGTGTGTCTTTAAAACCTCTTTTAGAAGATACATATGTGAGATGAATATACTATTAAGCAGATCATACTTTACTCTTCTACCCTTGTATTTAGGGATTTAACAAAAATTATGTTTTTTTTCCCCAGGAACTTTTAAAAGATTCTTTATTGTGGAAAATCCTGAACCCAGGCAAATGTAGCAAACATAATGAACCCAATGTACCCATTACCTAATTTTAACATTTATTAACTCATGGTCAAGTTTGTCCCCTCTATATCCTTCTGACAGCATGCATGCTCCACAACACCATTATCACATATTTTATTTTATTTTTTTATTTTATTTATTTATTTATTTTTAAGATTTATTTATTTGTGCATACAGAACTGAAGTACAGGCCAGAGACTCAGGGGTGGTGAAAGGCTTCACCAGAGACAGAGTGGGGAGCAGAACAGGCAGATCGAGGAAGTACACTGCTGAGGGG